AATGCCATGTCACAATTACATCATCATTACACATCATCATTTTCATATCACATTTAATTAGGATAGAAAAAAGATTTTAACCAATCAAATTAAAACAAATCAGCATTTTTTATTAAACTACATTCTCAATTAATAGGTAGAGGATCACATCAGTTTAAAATTATTTATATCACTGTTACAATCTAGAGTGTATATATTTGATTTGTTATTGTTTATTTAGATTTTAACATAATTGTATGGTTGTTCTATTTTAATTTTATAGTTAAGGATCTAATTCTAATCCATATATTTTTTATTTTTTTAAAAAAGCGCATAATCTTAATCTTGATTTAACGTTGACAGCTAAAAATTTAATAGTTTTATAAACAAATGGTATCTTTCATGTTAACTTATAGTTAAGAGGTTTTAACAACATTTTTTGTCATTGTATATGATTGTAATAACTTCTTATCTTATTTTTTTCATGTTTTGTAATTCTGTATCAATTTTAAAATATTATAAAAGTGGAATATTTAGCAACAAGTTTACCGCTTTTGAACTCTGGAATCTTTAATCCGAGTATCTTTCTTTTGCCTAGTTGTAGAATCAACGAGGATATTGCATTAGAATTGTCAAAGTTTGAGGAACTCCTTAACAGTTCAACATCTCCAGAAGATCCGACGAGCTAAATCTCCTGATATAATGTGAAGACTAAAAATGATGAGTCATATGTACAAATTGTTTGCTTATCCTTATATATCCTCATCAGTGTATTATATACCAATTCAAGGAACTAGTGGTGGCTTAGCTATCTTTTGAGATCACTATGTTCATCTTCAAGTGTATAATCTTTTCTCAATATTTCTGATGTGTATATATGAGAAGACTCCTCTACTTATTGTATAAGTTACGTCGATAGTTCTCCTTATAAGAGACTACAGCAAGATCTTTGGTGATGAATGCAACGACAGTCACCATTGTATCATGTCACTCCAAGACTGGTTCTAGGAGATTTTATTGACATTCTATCGAATGAAGAGAAAGCAGGAGGTCCTCTGAGATCAGAATCCAGTTTTGAAGTTTTCTTATATATGATTGTCACCAATGGTTTGCATGATCTGCGTACTATTGGTGGCAGTTTTACATGGGTTGGTTCTAAACATATGCATGTGGTCCGAACAAAGAATAATCGTGCAATGGCCAACACGTTATGGACAGATATGTTTCCATCGATGTATGTTCAGTTTGATAAGTTTGATCTACCGTCCCAGTACTTATCAAACTTTACTCTCATATCCCCAGTCTTTGCTGCCAACTCTTTGTCTACACTATTGCTCTTGTTCAATAGATTCCTTTCTATAATTACTTTTCATGCTTGGAAAGCTAAGAAGTTATTCAAATACGATAATCAATGGACACATGATCCTCAAGTTAAAGATATTGTATCAACAACATGGGAGGAGAGGTGCCAACATCTTCCACCTTAATAGTTTAGTAATGCCATCATTCACTGTCGAGATGCACGGGCTATGTGGAAAAGGACTAATAACATAAATTCCAGCAAACAGATCCAAGAGTTGAATCAGTCTCTCCATCATGCGTATAATTCTTCTGCCCTGGGTTTTCATTATATAAATTATTTGAAACAGAAGCTAATGATTGCCTACAGGTTGGAAAAAGAGTATTGGAAAACCAAAAGTAGGGCGCATTGGCTTAAGGCGGGGGACCGAAACACTAAATATTTCCATGCAAAAACCAAGCAGCTCTATAACAAATTGGTTGTATTAGAAGATGATGATGATGATGGCAAAGTGTACACTGGTCCGCAAGACATAAACCATACAGTACAGGACTATTTTAATCATTTGTATGCTACACAAAATGCTATGGTTGACCATGAGATATTAGCAGGTATTCCTTTACTCATGATATGAATCAAAAGCTTATAGCACATATTACTAGGGAGGAAGTTAAGCAAGCTGTTATCAGTATCCCTTCTGAAAAATATCCTGGTCCTGATGGCATGAATGGTGGATACTATAGAAATCATTGGGACATAATTGCAGAGAGTGTTTATCAATTTGTTCAAAAAAAATTTCAGGAGGGATTCTTAGATTCAGATATCAACCATACTCATATTTATCTCATTCCTAAAAATTATCCCCTACTTCTCTTAAAGATTATAGGCCTAATAGTTTATTTAATGTAGCCTACAAGACTATCTCTAAGGTCCTAGCTAATAGCTTAAGCTCTGATTGACGAATATTATTTCTGAGAATCAAACAGCTTTCATTCCAGGGAGACTTGTCACAGATAATATCATTATAGCTCATGAGTTCCTACATTCTTTGCGAACTAAATGTTTGAAGCGCCACTTTATGGCTCTTAAATTGGATATTACTAAGGCTCTTTATAAAGTTGAATGAAGTTTTTTTGATTCAGTAATGGCTCGAATGGATTTCATATGCAATGGAAGGAAGGATTATAAAGTGTCTAATGTATGTCTCCTACTTTGTGCTTATTAATGGCGAGCCGACACATCGGATCTATCCCCAACGAGGTATTCATCAAGGGGACCCAATTTCTCCGTATCTGTATTTAATTTGCACTGAGGCTCTCTCTGCTCTCTTACAACGCTTGGCAAAGCAGAAAAAAAATTATTTGGATATAGAGCTTCTCGGGAGGTCTGCTAATTACTCATCTGATTTTTGCAGATGACTCATTACTATTTTCAGGTACAAATGTCAAGGATGCTACCACATAACAGCGTGCATTATCTATGTATAGCCAAGCGTCAGGACAGCATATCAACTATACAAAGTCGTCTATTATGTTTAGCAGAAGTACTCCTCAAACTACTATCATTGAACTTTCACAATTATTTCAGATAACACAAGTAGGTGGTTTTGAGAAATATTTAGGAGTACTTGAGTCAACAGGTAAAAATCGAGCTGAAACTTTTGTGTATTTAAAGCAGCGAATACATCAAAAATTAGCTACTTGGTATTTAAAATTGTTGTCACCTGCTGGTAAGGAAGTGTTAATTAAGTCGGTAAATACTGCAATTCCAACATACACTATGAGTTGTTTTCTTCTACCTAAAAACTCATTAATAAACTGATGGTAGATATTAGGCGTTTCTGGTGGTCAAACAACCCCGATAGAAGGAAAATCTCTTGGGTCTTCTGGAACAAAATTGTGGAGGTGAAAACACAAGGAGGCTTAGGATTTCGTGATTTCAGAGATTTTTAACATTGATTTATTAGCTAAACAAGGTTGGTGATTAATGAAGCACCCCACATCATTGTTAGCACGAGTATACCAAGCTAAATACTATCCACAATCAACCTTCCTTCAGGCTGCTACTAAAAGACAATCTAGTTATGTTTGGCAGAGTCTTCTTAGTGCGCAAGAGTTGTTAAAAACAGGACGAGTGTGGAATGTAGGCACTGGAGAGGATTTTAATGTTTGGTCTAACCTATGGTTGCCTCTGAAACCACCTAGACCGCATGTACTTGTGCATCCCGGATATTCAGGTACTCATATGTGGAATGAGGAAAAGCTACATAGCCTCTTTGCACTACCAGATGCACAAGAAATAGTGAAGATAAGGCCCTCAATCACCAAAGTAAATGATTCACTTTCTTGGCTCCATACGACACATGGCTTTTATACTGTTAAATCTGGATAATCTGTTCTAAGAAGCTTTAAAAATGAGCATTCTTCGTTTCCTAGCAACAATAGTGTCAATTTGCATATGTTTAAAACTGCTTGGAAACTAAATGTTTCACCAAAAATTAAATTTTTGTGGAGAGTTAGCCATAATAGTTTACATGTGGCTTCTCAGCTTTGCAAAAGAGGCATATCTATAGATGATCCATGCTTGTTTTGTGGCCATGAGGATGAAACGCTTAATCATCTTCTCTTCAGGTGCAATACTTCACAAAAGGTATGGCAATTATCTATATCCTATCTTTCTGGAAGAATATCTATGAACTCCTCAGATATATGGTATAATTTAGACATTTTGTTTCGTATACTGTCTTCCAAGCAAGAGAAAAGTACTTTAATCCATTTTCTTGGATGAGAAATTTGGAAAACAAGAATTCAGTTACTTTTCAAAGGCAAACGCCGAAGTATTGTGTATATTATTAATACAACTTTTATGTCTCACAAATTATGGTATCACGTTAACGCAGTTAATACTCAGACCATTCAGGAGCTTATAGTGTGTCAGAATGAAATCTCGATCAACCAACTTTGTCACAATAGCCCTTCTTATTTTTGTTTTGTGACTGCCTCCTAGACTGCACCTAACAAAGACGCTGGAGTAGTTTGGCATCTATATACAAAGGAGGTCAAACTCATCTTGCAAGGCTCTTCTTCTATAGGACTATCTCAAACTCCGGTCGAAGCTGAAACTATAGCTCTAAAAATGGCTATACAAGAGATAGCAAAGCTCACCTACAAGACAGTGGTGTTTCTAGGAGCTTGCTCAAGTTTGTATCTCCCACTTAGTAAATGTTATCAAGCAATGGTGGATGTGGTTCAGCTTCAGTCAATTGCTATGGATGTTCGAAATATTGTTAGGTTAGCAAAGCAACCAAGTCACACTTTTTTCCATATTTCTAAGCATCTATTACATGACACAATTACTATAATCCAGATTGTTTGTATTAATAAATAATCTTATGTAATCTGTTATTTTTGTTAATAAACTATAAGAACATACTCACATAAGTTTTTTATCAATTTAATAATAATAATTTTAATATAATTTAATTGTATTAATTAATTTTAAATTTGGAATAAAGTTAACTAATTATACGAAGATAACACATATAAGGTGAATCTCTGAAATTTTTTCTCTATTCTCTTTTTTTTCTTTTTTTTTTAATTTATTAATTTATTATTTTGAGGGATTTGGTAACAGATTACTAATACAGGTGGTCTAATGCTTGCCGGAAAAAAAAAAAGAACTCAGCTGATCACTAGATTGTCTAGTTACTCTAATCTTAAAAATGTCAAGCTCACTCCTAAAACGGATCCTCCACCCGACCCGGAAACCTAAACCCTACTCGACCTTCTCAATCGCTCCCCTCACCACCGTCTCTTCTCCACCGTCCGATCCCTCAAACCCTACTTCATCATCAGATCCTCTGATCACCGACGCCGTCACAATCCTAACACACCACCGCTCCAAATCCCGTTGGTCCACTCTCCGATCACTCAACCCTTCCGGTTTCACTCCTTCCCAATTCTCCGAAATCACTCTCCGCCTCCGCAACAACCCTCACCTCTCCCTTCGCTTCTTCCTCTTCACTCGCCGCCACTTTCTCTGCCCTCACGACATCGGTTCCTGCTCGACTCTCATCCACACCCTCGCTCGATCTCGCCTCAAGAGCCACGCTCGCGACGTAATCCGCCTCGCTCTCCGTCTCTCCGACGAAGACAACGACAGAGACCGCGTCTCGAAAGTGTTCCGTTCGTTGATTAAAAGCTACAATCGATGTGGGTCTGCACCGTTCGTCTTCGATTTGCTGGTAGAATCGTGTCTTGATTCGAAACAGATCGATGGAGCTGTGATGGTAACGAGGAAACTAAGGTCTAAAGGAATCAATTTGCAGATTAGTACTTGCAACGCTTTAATCTCAGAGGTTTCAAAGCGTAGAGATGCTTTAAACGGATATAAGCTATACAGAGAAGTTTTTGATTTAGATGATGTTAGAGACGATGAAGCTAAGACCTTTATGGTTAAGCCAAATGTGAACACTTTCAATTCGATGATGGTGAGTTTTTACAGAGAAGGTGAAGCAGAGATGGTAGAGAGGGTCTGGAGAGAAATGGAGGAAGAAGTAGGATGCTCCCCAAATGCTTATAGCTTCAGTGTTTTGATGGAGACGTATTGTTCTCGAGGTATGATGATGGAAGCAGAGAAGATATGGGAAGAGATGAAGTTAAAGAGAGTGGATCAAGACGTTGTGGCTTACAACACTATGATTGGTGGGCTTTGCAGTAACTTTGAGGTTACTAAAGCGAAGAAGCTTTTCGACGAAATGGTAACGAAGAGAATAGAGTGTACTTCACTAACCTATGATCGTCTCGTTAATGGGTATTGTAAAGTTGGGGATGTTGATTCGGCTATGGTTGTTTACAAGGAGATGAAAAGGAAGAGTTTTGAAGCAGAGGGTTTAACCATTGAAGCGTTAGTGGAAAGGTTATGTGATGGCGATAAACGAAGAGTCGTTGAAGCCGCGGAGATTGTGAAGGAAGCGGTGAGAGAATCCGAGTTTTGTCCTAGCCGGAGATGTTATGAGTTGTTGATAAAGAGGTTGTGTGAAGAAGGGAAGATGGAGAGAGCCTTGAAGATTCAAGCTGAGATGGTGGGAAGAGGGTTTAAGCCGAGTCAAGAAACGTATAAAGCTTTTATCGACGGGTATAGAAGATTCGCTGATGAAGAAACATCTGCTTTGTTAGCCATAGAAATGGCTGAATCACTCGAGCTAAGAACAGAAGAAGAAGAAGTTGATGAAGGAGCAGCATTGTTAGCCTTTGAAATAGCTGAATCATTAAAGCTAAGAGCAGAAGAAGAAGAGAAAGAAAGCTAGAATTTGAGCTCTCTGTGTAATTTGCAAAGAAATCTTAAGAGTGACAAATCTCAATTCAATTCACACTAACAAATACCTCATGACTATTCTTATTTCTCAAAGTCTGTGAACAACTCAAGAGGGTGAAACTAAAATTAAAACCACAATCTTGGATAAGTTACGAGAGATAAGACTCAAACTAATCACTCTTACATAAAAAACAAATGGGAAAATGATGAACAGAGAGTCGCTGAAGTGATGATCATGGCTTAAAAGATAAGAGCCCAAATGGGGAAGACGACGAGAGCAATGATCCCGAGTGTGTTGGAGATGCCATTAGCTTTAGTGAAGGCGTTTCTGAATCCACCTGAAGCTCTAATGTGTTCTTGAAGCAAGTAACATCCAATCCCTAAGCATACAACTAAACCAACCCAGTTGTCTCTGAATGTTCCGGCGATTAGTCCCGGAGCCACCACGATGAGTAGAATCGCCGCCGCAGGTAATTCGAACCATTCTAACAACAAGAGATTAACAAATCAGCTATTGATAGAAGATTTTTTTTTTCAATGGAGAAGTGAACAAACAAACCTCGGAAGTGTTTAGGGAAGAAGAGTTGTACAACAACAGCTACAATTGCAATCCATTTACCAACTTCTCCTCTGTGAAATTTTAAGACACAAGTTAGAGACTTTATTGACAAAGTCTCTGTTTTTTTGGAAATGAACCGATTTGTTTTGTTGGGTTTACCTGAAAAGGCCAAAGATCACAGAAGGAAGACTGAAGAAGATGTAAGGAATCAAAAGTGCAGTGAGCATGTTCGTCTTCCAATTAGTTCGATCCAAGACCAACAAGTATCTGCATTTATAACATCATAAGATCAACACAAAGAAACGATGTAAGAGAGAAAGTTAGAGAGAGAAATAGAGAGAGGGAGAGAGATTACATGGCGGCAACAGAAGCAATCCATTCGAGGATAGAAGTACCAAAGCCTAAACCAGTGAGCCTGAAGGTGTGATTAGCGAGATTCTTAGCAGCGATTCCGAGCTCGTTGAGATCGGATCCGAGCATAGCTTGAAGGGTTCCATGGTCTCTCCTCATCGCCGTGAAAGTCATCTCTTTTCGGAAGAAATTGAGTTAAACTTCGAATTATTGATAGGAGTGAGAAGAAGAAGAAGAGCAGAGAGAGATGGTGATGACTGTTTGTGATCTGTGGAAGCCTTGTGATTTGTTTTTTAAAGATGTAGAAGTGACTCGATGGACGCATTTTCCGCCACGTGGCATAAGAGATCTTTTCATGAAATATTTTAATTTGAATAATATGCAATCAAAAACAAGATATTTTAATACGTTTACATTTTATAGTATAGTTTTACGAAGCCAATCGATCGCTGACGAAGATGTTTGACACGTGTCGAATTCAGCTACTCACACGTGACGGTGGACCTTCTACGAGTGTGTAATTGGTGGACGTAAGCGACAACGGACCGATCCAGCTGTATTTTCTTAACAAACTATATTTGCTTTTTATATTGAAATATATATTTTTTATGAATGTGGAAATCTCCAAGCATGGATAAGATTAGGATGGGATAGTCGAATTTTTCGAACATCTAAACATACAATATGTTTCAACTAGATTTAAATGAAGCCAATAATAATAAAATAAAAAAATAAAAGCATATGTTGTATGGTTTCTAAATTAACACTTAATTTATAAAAAAACAAATCGAAGTATGAAAGCGAAAAAAAAAAACAAAGAGAAGTCTGATGGTGGAGGTTGGTATAACATGTGTGAGTAAATTGTTGAGCTAAAAAGGTCATGTAATGCGTTGTAGACTTTCAAGATGGATCAAATCAATATATTTTTTATTTTTTTATTTTTATTATTATTTGATGTCGGCAGAAGATTTTTTTTCCTTTTTCTTTGGACATTAAAATTATTATTGTCTTGAGAAGCGCCAACCAAACCATATATTAAATCCTCCTAATAAAGCTTTGTTTTACCATTATCTTATAATAATGACTATATTCTGAAATATATTCGTGCTAATTACCATAGTCTCCAGTATATATACTAGTTAAATAACTATATTTAAAAATTATTTTTTGTAAATTATTTATACTAATATTATTTACTAAGTAATTATATATTTTATTACTCACATTAATTTGACTATATAATAATTTATATCAATTATTTATATATAATTTAATATTTATATTTATTAAAATAATTTCTTTTTTTTAATTTTTTATCAAAAAAATTAGTTATAAAAACTAATTTTTTTTTCTTTTTACAAAAAATATATCATCACATCATTTATATATTAAAAAAATATAAATTTATTTTATACATATATTATAATTCAATTATTCAAATAGTTACTAAATAAAAATATGTTTTAAAATTTTATATTTATATGAAAAATAAAATATATATATATCAATAGATGATTCATAAATTATTATAAAAATATAAAATATTTAATATTTTCAAAAGCAGAAAATTTAATTTAATAAATATTTACATTAATAAATATTTTTGATTTAACATAACTTTTAATATAATCTTATAAATTAATTAAATAATATAAATATTTAAATTTAATAAAAATTAAAATATTATATTAATAATTAAAATATAAAAACTGTTGTGCTCCTCAAGAACTGCTGGTTGTTTTTTCTGCTACAACGGACCACCTTCTCTCTTCGTATTAAATATGTGTCATCTCGGTCGTGCGGCTCGAGAGACTAATAATTACTGTCATCAATTTATGATTTTTTCTCACGTGTCGCTTCGATTTCTTCCTCTTTCTATAAATTCCGTTGGATCCACGCCTTTACAGTCTCACTTCACTTCCAAAGCAATCCGCAAAATCACTTTCTCTTTAATTTTTTCTTTTCCTGCTTTTCATCCCTCTTCTCGTTCAGTTGAGATGTCGGCATTGAATTTATCATCCGATAAGTGATGTGCACACTTCTCGAATGCCTCCGCCGGCTGTTTTGCAACACAGACTCCTTGAAGAGGGTCTTGGCGGCATCTGCTCCAGTTAGCTTCACCCTTAGGCATGGGAGCTCCTCTCTACTTTTTTAGTAAACTTTAAAAAAGTTAATTATGTTTAAAAATTAGTATATTTGTTGACCAGCAGACTTCTTTTGAAGTCTACTACCGACAGTAGACTTCTTAAAAAGTCTACTTCGTTTGAAGTCTACTTTCTTAGTAGACTTCAAAAAAAGTCTACTTGAAAATAAATTCAATGTTTGGTCAACCCCAAAACTAACCCAAGTATACTAATTTTTTTAGATAATAATTAAATATTATTGATTGAATTATTTGTTATTTATCTATTATATCGAATGAATTAAAGATATAATATACATTTAGTAGTTAGGAAAGCCCATTATAAACTTTTTTGAAGTCTACTACTCGGAAAAGTAGACTTCAAACAAAGTCTAATATTCAAACATTATATAATTTGAAAAATGCAAAAACAAATTCTTTCCAATTAATTTACACCATATCAAAATTTGAAGTAAAATTTTGGACGTTAATATACATAATTAATTTTAATTTTTAATACATATATACTTTAATTATTTATAAAAAATGTATTAAAATGATATATTATCTTTGCCCCCGATTAAAACTTGTTCTGGACCGCCACTATATATATATATATAGATTATGTACTTAATTACTTATCTACAAGCCTTACGTACAACGGAGCAAAAACCATTTTATGGCACTAAGCACATGGTCAAAGAGCATACTTTGGAGACAGGAGATGAGCAACTTTTTAAGTTAAACCTAATCAAACCAAATACATTTACGAAGCCACATTCTCAAGCTATAACGTACCTTGTAAAGTTATAAATCACATCAATTAGAATTCCCAGCCAAGAGTTATGAAGTTCTGAAAATTGAAGTTTGAAATCACATTTCGAATATTGGGAGAGATTTATAGATATGCAAATATTTTTCATCGGATTTTCATCTCATTTCCTTTTTATATGAATTTCTATGTGTAGTGGTTACTGAGTTTCGACGGGTTAAAGTTGGTTTGATACATTGTGAGACTCATACTTAATGCTAGGATATCCTTCGTTTTTAGTTTTGACTAATCGTTTTTATTGGTTTGGAAGTTTCCTTGCTTATAGAATTTGTTAAAGAGGCTCACAATGTATTATGCATCTTGTTTAAGTTTCCTTTCAGTTTCGATGGCTTTAAATTGATCTAATACATTAAAGTTAATATTGAATTAAATTCGATTTTAGTTTTGACTAATGTAATAGAAATAGTAAACTGAATTTGGTGGGTTTAGAATTTTCCATCGATGCATGAAAATCGCTAAACTAGATAATTTAGAATTCTTTAGTAATCATTAGTTGGAAGATCAACCATGCATTATAGTGATCCTGAAAGCTTTTTAGTTAATCTTTTTAGTTTTAGGCTTTTAGCAAACAATTCTAACCTTCCACCCGCAATCGTTGCAGCCTTGCAGGTTACTTCTGTTTTTGTTAGTAGTTTAACACCCTAAGTTCTAGGTTGAGAAACAATATACCAGATCAGTTTAATAGTTTGGGTCAGGTTTATATTCCTGTTAAATTTAATTTCTGACTATAAATTAATGGATTTTCTATTAATAAATCGACTAAAATGTGAATTACAACATTTTTGTTTTTTTTGTTTTTTGGTGCATGGCACCATGTAGTAAGTACTTTTTGGTGTAGATATATAAAACTGCATTTTGTTAGTTGGCATGTGCAGTTTTACAATACCCTATAATTTGTGTAACTTGGAAACATCTGCCTAATATTGTTATAAGATATGATATTTTTAATGAAATCCTATATTTTCCTTCCCATGCTCAAATCGGCATATAATCATTTCAAATCAATGCTCAAGTTGGCAAAGTATTTTTAAACATATAAACGTGTTCATTATAAATTCTAAATATCTCACAAATCTGAAGAGTTTGAAATTTGAACATTTATTTTGAGATATCAAAACACTATGATCATATATACATCAATACTAGGTCACTATATTGTACCTTAAAATTGAGTCCAAACATGGAAACAAATTTGATTAGTACTAAACTACTAACTAAAAAAAAACAATGTACTCATCACTGTCCACAATTATAAATTGAGACTTTTTCATCATATACTCTCAATTCATAAACCCAAAAGAAGAAACATAAACGAGGAAGATGGGGAAAGTATTATGCATGGTGTGGTTAATGATGATTCTATCGGTAATTGTCATAGAAGGTCATCAAAAAGAAGAATTGCCATGAAGAAATTATTGTCTAAATAACTTTGTAAACCCGACATACCAGTGTCGCAATGTGCAGATTGCCGTAGAAGGTGTCCATTTGCTGCAGTGAGAGCCACTAATCGTGACATGGAGATCCCGAAGAACAAAAACAAAAAGTTGTTTTGATAAAATATAAAATACATGGTAATTGTATCGATGCCTCGTCCAAATATATATAGTGCAATCTTTTGCTAAATTGAGTAATATTTTTTTTTTTTTTTTTTGCTAAGAATGTTAATATCATATAAAATGAAGATTGGTTTTACAGAAAGAGAAAAACCTATACAAGTGGTTCCTTGGCAAAAAAGAGAAAAACAAGGAAGCACACGTAGCTTCTAATAATCGAAGACAACTATAAATTTAGTGGAGCCAAAGGCTCATGATGTTTCGGAAACTCTTCCTGTCGCGCCTCGCAGTGATAGAGTTGATTATCTGCCGATCAATTTCCTTGAAGATGGTGAGTGGAGGGACTGAAACAGAGTTATGGAGGAGGTTGTTTCTTTGTTTCCAAATCCCAGCCACCACAGCTTGAGTCAGAAGCTTTCGGAGCAAGGGAGGAACTGAACGAGTACAAGAAGAAGTCCAAGCGAGTAGATCCTCCCAAGAGCCAAATACTAACGGTGATAGCGATATCCTTCGACACAATTCTTGCCAAATTACCGCGCTAAAGGAACAAGACAGGAAAAGTGGTCCCTTGTTTCGATATGGCTTGAGCACAACACGCACAAAGGCGACACTAGCATTCCCCAGGAGACAAGTCTGGATCTTACAGGAAGCCTATCTAGTGTTGCCGAC